TTATTTAGACTGTGCTATCCTTTGTGTTAGGCTAACTACTAAATTTTTTCGATTTCGAGTAATCTGCACCTAACCCTATTTTCTCCATAAGCCCTGTTATTTCTATTATGCGATTTTCTATAACACGATATTTTACAAGAACACAACTATCGCGTTATAGCAGAACTGACTGTACAATGCTTTGCCAGAGTGAAATTTTGACAATAACAACAAGAGCGAGAGACATTGAATATAACTCTGATACTTGTAATTTGTTACACAAAATTGGTAATTTAGCTTCAGGAATCACAGCATTAATGCTGGTTATAATGTGTCTTATATGAAACAACAATGGAAATGCATAAGGTGCAATTAGTGTTTACTCAAGAGGTTTACAGAAGGGTAAATCACTAACAATTACAAAGGTGGAAACTCATCATGTCAACTGTGTCTGCAGAACATTCACATTTTTATGACCTTTAACTCCAAACCCCTAAAGAGGTTATAAGCTTTACCTCAGTAATGGCTGCTGGCAAGTCATCCTCAAACTCAATGGAGCTTTCAGAAATATATCGCGATCTCCTCATCTATGAAATCAAATGTTACAAGTCACATTATACAGAAACTTATCTATATATACATTACTCACTACTACTATTTCATGAAAAAATAAATAAATTGGTCTACATAAATAATACTTTCTAGCCAACTTATACAGAATAGAAATGAAAACATTTTTATACATACAGTATAGTAAAATTTTCAATCCTGCAAAGCACAATATTAAAAAAGCTGGGTGTTTCAAAGCAATAAAAAAATACTTCGATAAAAATGGAATGTTAGTGCCAATTATGTGTGGCTAACAATAACTACGGTATACATAGTTTTAAATACCATCGGGTGATATAGAACTCAACCATATCATTTAATGATGATTATTATCAATAAGCTCATCACAAAATAATAGCTCTAGGTATTTGTCTGCTTCTGTGGAATTTCACTATATGTACTGTAATAAACACTAATTCCTTAAGTACCATATACAGCAAAATAATACTGTACCTAATTTTGCTTGTACATCTACAAAGGTAAATATATATTACAATATTAAGGTTACCAATAAAACTTTCTGCTTCACTGCAATCTTCATACTCATCATCATCATCGTCATCATTATTAATGCACAGCTAAATGAAAAACAAGAGATAGGTCAATAAATGTATATAACCTTATCAGTAGAGCATCTCAAGTTCAAAAGCTGAGCCCTTGCATTATGTGACTCTGAATTGATTTACATTTGAATTAAAATTCACCTAAAATGATAATTTCATTTATTTTCCCCCAAATTTGGATGAACTATTTATTTTTTTATTCACTTTATGCTCATAGCTTGTGCAGTATGTGTACATATAACTACTTTTTTAGTGCAAATATCACATACAGGCAAATGCAGTTTACCAGTTTATGAGATCGTTACGTTCCTCAAAAACTTCTCCAAAACTGATTTTTCATAAATCGATGCACAATTTGTCAGACTACCCCAAAATGTCCTAAAATGACACAAAACGTATTCAAAGAAATTTTTTTGTACACAATGATTCCTGTAAAAACTACAAGTACCAGACACCTGAGTAATGAAATATCCAAATAACGACATGAATCTTAGAAAAAATTATTTAAAAATTAGACAAAATATTTTGCGTATCTTGCGGGTCACTGTTGCTGTTGTGGAGCGACGCAGCAGGGAACGAAGGATTGAAACCTTATTCCACTTTACTCATTGTTAATTCAACCTATAATTTGACCCTAGCCTTTGAAAAATACAGTACAATAAGCCCTCGTTATTCACGAGGGTTAGGTTCCAAGGAATGGCATTAATAGGCAACACCGTGAACAGCAACCTATACTACCTTAGTGCACTACAGTGAGTTCTGCTATAACGCGTGTTTTGATAACGCGAATTTGCTCTAACGCGATTTATGAATTCGGAACAATATTTGTATAACGCGAACGCTTGTTTGCTATAACGCGATTTTGGCTTACTATTTCTCCAATTTTGTGGTATTAACTGTGAATATGGTAAAGAAGAATATCTCCAAAAAGCGTTCTGATGATAGAATTCCCGGTGATTATCGTAAAAGAAAGGATATAACACTTGAAGAGAAGCTCGATGTTATCAACCTCAAAATCACCCTTCTCCCCCATCAAGTTACATTCATATTTTTTCAAGGTAAAGTGTTAAATTTACTGTATGATTTCATTATTAGATATGAATGTAACATTTATTTAGACTGTGCTATCCTTTGTGTTAGGCTAACTACTAAATTTTTTCGATTTCGAGTAATCTGCACCTAACCCTATTTTCTCCATAAGCCCTGTTATTTCTATTACGCGATTTTCTATAACACGATATTTTACAAGAACACAATTATCGCGTTATAGCAGAACTACCTGTACTGTATACCTATACCAAACAGCCGACCATCCTTGGTAACACACATCCCCTCTTTTAACTTATCTAATAATTCAACTTTCTTTGTCAGGGTTATCACTAAGCTTAGGATAATTATGCATTTAAAAATGGCTAAATATGCATGCAAATATGCAGTAAAAACTGAGAAAATATGCACTTTAAAATATGTTAATAAATAATAACTACTAAGTTAATGACTCCTTTTCTGTACATTTTCTCAGTAAATTCACTTTCCCACACAGGATGTCGCCGAAGTAGGATTTTTTAAAGAAGGATCAAATACAAAAAACAATATACTAACGTAAAGTAATTTATTAAACAATACTGAAAAAAGTATTTTCCTTTTAAGAAAACTGAAGAACAAAAGAATGTCAAGAGGGAACTAATGGAGCCCGTGCATCTATATCCTGCCTGGCTGAACACGAACCCATCACGTACAGTTCATGTCCACTGACCAGCCAATCACGGCCTAGCTAACCACAGCCTATGTTGAGCGATATAAACGTCACTTACGTATTTTCCTTTTGGATATTATGACGCTAAAACAAAATCGCGTATTTTCGATTTTGTATCAGTGCAACAAAATGGACATTTACAGTCAACCCTCACTTTACGAGGTCCCACATTCCGCGTTTCCACGGTGCCCTGCCAGAACCCAGGATGCTCACATTCCGCGGTGGGTGTACCCCTTTACGCGGGTGAAGTATAATTTTTTTATTTAGCTCATAAAATTCATACAAATTATCCGGCCAGAATATAATTTACATTGCTGGAATTCATACAATTTGATGATCATTTTGAATATAAACATCATAGATTTTGCATAAGACATACAAATTTTAGATATAATGTTTACTCTGAGTAAATATGTTATCTTTTGTGCAAAATATATGACATTTATATTCAAAATATTCCTGGTCTTACAAGGAATCCAGCAATGTCAATTATATTATCCTAACTTTGGTCTGATTTATTATTTATTACTAAAAAGGTAAACAGTCTGGTATTCCCACACATTCATCTAGTAGGGAGGGAGGGACCGGCGACCGACCACCTGGCACGGTGTGAAGAATATTTTTTTTTTATTAACTGAAGATATTTGTTTTAGCTCATAAAATTCATACAAATTACCCGGCCAGAATATAATTTACATTGCTGGAATTCCTACAATTTGATGATCATTTTGAATATAAACATCATAGATTTTGCATTAGACATACAAATTTTAGATATAATGTTTACTCTGAGTAAATATGTTATCTTTTGTGCAAAATATATGACATTTATATTCAAAATATTCCTGGTCTTACAAGGAATCCAGCAATGTCAATTATATTATCCTAACTTTAGTTTGAGGTATTATTTATTACTATACCTGGTTTTCCCCAAAAATTTCTCAGAGAGGGAAGAGCCAGGAGTGTAGTGTGAGAAGAGGGGGAGGGAGTTGAGTCCATTATTTGAATGGACATTAACTTGGCGACTGTATTTCTCTTAAGTATTAATTGTGTGCATGTACCATCATAAAATTAAGATGTTATTTTTACTAGAACATAGGTATTGTGTTGAAAAAAGTGGAGTTTGGGGGTCAGCTGGTCTCTATTTCATTTAATCCCATATGTTATGTTATTCACTTTACGCGTTTCTCACTTTCCGCGGTACCCTGTGGGTTTCATTAACCGCGTAAAGTGAGGGTTGACTGTATTATATTTCAAATATCAGTAATTTCTGCCCCAGCGTTGCTGTTATGCTCGCGAATTTTTTGACCCTTGAGGTTGAAGAATGTTTTATAATATTTTGGAATTTTCCAAATATATGCCTTATAAAACAAAAAATATGAATATGCACTTTAGCTCAAAAATGGCTTAAATATGCATTTGCATATGCACATATGCAAATGCATAATTATCCTAGGCCTAGTTATCACTGACGTCTGCTTTTTACATTTTATTCCACTAGCATCACTAGCAATGGCACTCGGCAGTCTTTTAAGTGCCATTTCACACAGAAACACTAATGTTTTGAAAGTACAATATGAGATGCTGCATTGAAAGACTCATTGTGCTGCCGGAAAAGGCTTGCAAGCTAGCCACCACATCCACCATCTGTTTAATGCGATTTGTCGAAATCACGAATTGCAAACCCGCGAATGGCAAGGGTCTACTGTACTAGGTGTAATCCTAGACATAATTTGCAGACAGACAACACCAAAGAGTCTCGGCTGTGACCACCACCACATAAGCCGATGCTATGAACAGTGTTGCCATTTCTGAAACTGAATTCCCAGCAGTTACCAACTCCTATGAGAAATAAGATAAAATAATATATACCAATAAGTGTGAGGAATAAATAAAAATGTTACTGAACAGTAGTCCCTCGCCAACCACGGAGGTTAGGTTCCTGGAAAACCCCATGGCAGAACCCAGTAACGTTACGCTCTTCCCACACGCTAGTCTATCAAGCACTTCGACTTTCTTTCTAGTCATTAGGTTCCCTGTCCCCTTCACTTTCTTCTCACCTTTATCACTCAGACTCACTGCATGCTTTAGGGCCATGTTATTACAGTAGAAAATACATAATAAATATCCAGTGTATGGAGCAATAAAATATGTCTGCACTGTACAAGATCACAAAACTTGAGAGAATGCTGCGAGCAGTGACAAGAAGCTGAACACTGCGCAGATGAATACATTGGAAGAAGGAAAATGACTGTGCGTTAAACCGTGGATAACAAACTATCACACATTCGGTGAAAAACTGAGGGTGAGTACAGTAGACTCTTGATAACTCAGGATTCTATATAACTTAACATGGCAGTAAAATATTCAACTGTATGAATTATCTTTTTACGTAACTCTCAATAATCCGAGTTACAATGAGGCAATCTGGGAATGGTGAAATATGTGGAAAAAACACAGGATGTGTGGGGGGTTCTGCTGCTCAGTTAAGCATTGGTCACCCTAGTGTGAGGATACCCACCCCAAGGTGCTTGACTTATTTTCCTTATTTTCACAACTTATGCAAAGTGCTATTCAGCCCTCATAGCTTCTGCACCATCACCAAGGCCTAGGAGAAGTGAAATGAAGTTGAAATCCCTGAGACTATGTTACCAAGTCAATCTTCAGTTGGTGCCGTAAGCACTTACAGTACTGAACTGTATACAGGGTATAAGGTAGTGAGTGAGCCCACATCACCTCTGACACCTACCTCATAGCACTGGAACTTGAATTATTCTCATCCTTTGCCTGCAGTGCTGGCAAGTGTTAATTTTTACACAAGTTTCCTGATTATGGGAAGTTATTTTGGAAAAAAAAAATTAGGCATTGGGTTGGTCGGCAAGGGGCTATTATGAAAAACGGAAGAGATGAAGGAGGTGAAAGAAAGGGTGGAAGTGCCTCAATAACGCAGGATGGTTAGAGCCCCATATATTCTGAGTTATCAAGGGTTTATTGTAGTTGAATTGACCTAAGTTTGCTAGAATTCATCCAGGCTGGGTTGAATTTGCTCAAATACATGTAAAGGTATAGCTAAGCCAGTTATCATGGCAACTGAATGTTTATTTGAATTGTCATGGTTCTAAACAGACCAGTTTTTGTAAACAGCTGCAGTCACCCCCGACCCCTTTCCCCATATTATGGGCAGACAGGGTGTAATTGGTCTATCCAACAGATTAACAGATCAACCCATGTCATCTGGCAAAGGTTGTATGCCAGAAAATATTTATTGTACCAAAGTTGACCTTTACATAAAAAAGTTTAATCCTCTTTTAGTAATACTGCTGTCAGGAAAGCAAGCATGAACTACACATGCTTCCCTGTTGGGTGCTGTAAATGCTTTTGTGCTTCACCTTGCACAGAATGCAAGAGGGTGCCCAATAAACTAGCCCCCCTAGCAGGGTATAGTTAAAAAAATTTTACTGCTGTCACATTTGAGCAATTAACTACCTTTAGGAACCATGGACAAATTTATAATTTTCGCTTGAATAATGACAAAATCTTCTTTATGATTAGTATTCTATATTAGAAGTTTTCAACTAATTAAATTCTTTATCAATAACAAAATCTACTTTGGGTTATTATGGTACATTAGTTATTGGTACCTTTAAAACACTGGAGTTGCAAATCTGGTTACTCCTCAGCATAGAAAAACAGACCAAGCTATTGTCACGTTAAGGGTTGGAATCGAGATGACCTACTTACCTTGAATGTACACTCCTAATATAGGATTTCACCTGTTCTGAGGGTTCTTAAAAATTAATAATGAGATAATCAATTTTTAAGCTGGTATTTAATTTTCCAATATGACTGCAGTTGCAATATTTGGAAGAACAAATATCTCGGCCTATACTATACAGTCATTTAAGAGAGTTATCCAAAAAAATTACAAGAGTAAAATTGAAACTAAACTGGTTCATTGAACTTTGGAAAATGAGAGTAAACGTTTATCCATATCTAACCAACAACAGGAATATGCATGTGGCTTTATTTCTCATATTATGTTTCATTAATAACACATAAGTTTGCTTTTAAAACATCCAAAACACCAAGCTTATGCAACCATAACACCAAACTTTGAGAATAATCTGTGCTTGCAGGAGTTTTCATTATATAAAAATATAGTATTGTTAAGTGCTAAATTATAAAATTAATTAACAACTAAGAAGCAGGGCATCAAGAACTCAAATCCTAACCTCACATAAAATTGCTAAAACAGCAACACAAAGACATATGAATCAATAACATGTGTAAAAAAAACCCTTAGAGCTTACCTGGACAATCTCTGGTAATGGGGCAGGACCTGGAGAAGTTTGTGGTAATGGTAACTGATGATGTTCTTGATATCCAACATTATGTGGTGGTTGTGGGATACTTCCAGTGGCATCTCTGTCTTCCTTAGGGGGTGGCAATGGTGCTGGAACCATCAATGGTTGGGAAGCAGAAGGACTATTAATGTTCATGGGTGCTCCTGGCACAGGGAGCAGCATAGGATTCGGAAGATTTGAAGGCATTCCTCCTGCCATCCCCTGGGCATCTTTCTCAGTATTAACGTAACGTGATTCTGTTGAAGTATATCAATATTTATAATGGCTCACAACCTCATTCTGCCTCTGACTGTCTACTGAGTCACACACAAACATATAGTAGTGACTGGCTATTCCCTGTTGTTTCTTGACTTGTCCTTATTAACCCTCACCAACATGAATGTAATAAAAAAGTACCGCATTTTTCGGCTTGGAAGACGCTGCATCGTGGAAGACGCACCCTGATTTTTTTAATGTAATTCTAGGAAAAACACTTTTTATACTTACTAACCGACACCAGTGAAACCGTTGCTTGATATACAGCCCTTTTGGCACAAGTACACACACTTCTGTGAATATCATCACTTAGAACTGCTTATCAGTCGTCATTTTCATAAATCTAAAAAAAAAATATCTGTACAAGTGGAAATCTTTAATACAGCACTCATTTTATATACCTGGTCCCCTCCGCGTCTATCGGGCTGTAGTGTTTTCATTATTTCTCTTGTTTTTGTCGGAATGACAACGACGGGAAATATTTTCCAACAGTAGAAGGTAAGCAAATGTAAAGTGTCGTTATAATAAATGGTAAACAATTTGCCTTCGGCACTCGGTGTTTCAGGCAATGCGATCCTCAGTTTATAGGACGTAGAGTGTTTTTACTGAAGGTTTTGTTGTTCCAATACCCTCAAAAACTTGGGTCTACCTATAAACAAGGAATATCATAAATTAAAGATTTTTTTGGTCAAAAAATCAGGGTCGACCTATAAACTAGGGAGGGTTAAAGACGAGTGTATACGGTAAATAAACAAATAAATACTTCACTAGACCTTCGGCGCCAACTGTCAAAACATGTCAGTGTCACCCCGCCAGGGTTTGGTGGTTATACAGTAGGCTTTAAGTTTTTATATTATATAATATCACAGACTAAAGTTAGAATATAATTTGCATTGCTGGAATCCTTGCATGACAGCGAATAATTTTAATATAAACGTCATATATTTTGCACAAGAGATAAAAATTTTAGTACATTAGTTTAGTACATTTTAGTAATGTACAGTTTTTCAACTGTATTTTGGGGTAAATTTACATAAGTTTCTTCATTTATTTTTATTAATTTACATGCACACACCAAACTAAAAGAAACATACAAGAAATATATGACCTCAGTGCAAACCTGTACTGCACTAAATGATTATGGAACTAGAATTTTTATGTCTAGTGCAAATTATAGCTTGTTTATATTCATATTAATCACTATCTTACAGGAATCCCAGCAATGTAAATTATATTCTCCCAGGTCATTACATTGGTATTTTATAATAGAAAAGCTTGGTCACTCTTAAGGACTGATAAATAAACACACATTAGACCTTCGCGCCAACTGTCAATCACATCACCTCACCTCCCCCCCCGCCCTCCTTCTCCCCCATCTGCCCAGCCAGGGTTTTAGGCTTACAGTTTTTATCTTATATAATATCACAGACTAAAGTTAGGAGAATATAATTTGCATTACTGGAATCCTTGCAAGACACAGAATAATTTGAATATAAACGTCATATATTTTGCACTAGAGATAAAAATTAATCACCTGTATCACATTATAGTAGTGATTTAAGAGTTCTAGTGTATATGTACGTATTTATATATAGTGATTTAAGGGCGATTTAGGGGAATTTTAGGAGTGTTTCCGACTTTATGCGTTTTGGGCTTTACTTTGTATGTACTTTTCTGTGAGCTGGAACCAATTACCCATTGAAATAATGGATTCGGTTAACGAAATTTTCGGTTAACGAAATTTTCGGTTAACGAACGACTCTGTGGAACAAATTGTGTTTGCTAACCGAGGGACCACTGTAATGTTATTTAATGTTAATAAATGTAACAATAGAAGTAGCTAACCATTAATGGTAAAGAAAAAAGTGAGACTACGTGTATGTAAGTGCGCACATGTGAAAACATTTCGTCATTACTCTACATAAGAATATGAAAGCAACACTTATTTACTGTTCACATGTTTTAATTAATGTTTCTAAATTTAAAACAAAAATTCTACTCGTCATAAAGACAGCCAATGTTGTTGTGTTCGTTCTTACTCGGATGACGAAGTTGCCAAGCCATCAGGTTCAACTCCAGCTAAAGCTGTAGAACATAAGAACTTTTCTGTGTTGTTTTTAGTTTTTATTTAACTTTGTGTTATTTTTGTTGGTTTATTAGGATGTTGCTTTATTACAGGTCGTAATTCGCCAAAAAATGTAGGGTAAATAAGGCCAAATTTTGCCAAACATCGAAAGTACCAGTCAAATTAATTTTCTCCATAAGAAGTTGTATTTAAATTTGGACGATTTGAATTTCGCGAGGATTTTACAGTCAAAATAGGTGTCCAAATATGAGAGCCTACGTATGAAGAAACAAACATTCCTGCGCTTTGAGACCAGCAGACAACCTTTAGCAATTCCTCAATTGATGGCGCTGCCGCACCACTGCCATTAGTGGATAGTTCACCATCCCTGGACTGAAGTACTTAGCGTGGATGACGTGGAAACCAAATGGATAAATTATACCAACACCACCACGGAAGCTCACCACCACTTCTTCCCCGAGAAGTCCGTCAGATCTCACCCAGCTGACTTGCCCTGGATCACACCTCGGATCAAAAGACTTATGCAACAGAGAGACAAGAGCCTTTCATCTCAATAACCACATCCGCTACAGGTCCCTTCGCAACCGAGTCATCCGCGAAATACGCACTGCAAAGAAGTCCCACTACCCAACCAAATTACAACACCTGAAGCAGACCAACATCAGTCAATGGTATGGTAAGCTTAAAGAACTCTGTGGACTAAACAATAAGACACACCCCCTCCCCTTCCTTAGCCATCTCACTAATGTTGATGCAGCTGAGCAATCAAATAACCATTTCGCTACTATATGCCAGACGCTCCTCCGGCTTGACACAACCACTCTCCCTGCTTACCTACCAGCCCCCACTTCCCACTGACTTGAAAGAAGAATTTGAAGTAGCAAAACGCCTGGACAAACTAAAATTAAAACGCTCTACCACCCCCATTGACTTACCAATGAAACTCTTCAAGGAGTTCTCCCCGGAGCTTGCTAAACCCCTATATGCTCCATCATCAATGCTTCTCTCAGTCAAGCCAGATGCTCAGCTGACTGGAAGACCTCTTATGTATCACCAGTGCCCAAGTCAACCAGCCCACAATCCTTAAATCAGCTACGACCTATTGCAATCACCCCAATACCCAGCCTAATCTGTGAAAGTTTTGTGTTCGACTGGGCTTATGCTGATATTGCAGGAGTCGTAGACCCTCAGCAATTTGGCAATATGAAAACTTCCTCCACCACTCACTGTCTTGTCAGCTTTCTCGATTACATATACCGCCATCTCGAGAAACAAAAAACGTCTGTAGCTGTCGCCTTCATTGATTTCACTAAAGCATTCGACCTAGTCGACCACAATATAATCATCAACAAAGCTACTGACCTCGGGCTTCGGAGAAGTCTTATACCACGGCTTACAGACTTCCTCAGTGACCGACGCCAAGCTGTACGCTTCCGAGGGGCTGTCTCCACCTTTCAGTCACTCACCTGTGGGCACCAAGATGGGACCACTCTGCTTCCTTATGCTCATCAATGATGCCCTAAGAGAAACCCCTGCTCGCTGGAAATATGTCGACGACTCCACCATTGGGATCAGCGTCAACAATTCTGCTCCCGACTATACCGCCCTTCAGGATTTATTGAACAGTCTCCAAAACTGAGCCACCAACAACCATGTCACCATCAACCATACCAAGACCATGGTTATGCACATCAACCTCTCCGACATTGTCCCACCTCCTTCCATTACTTTAGGTTCGAACACACTCCAGGTTGTAGATTCCACGAAGCTCCTCGGCGTCACCATAGACAACAAACCAAATTGGAAACCACACGTCAGTGAAGTTGTCAAATCCTCCAGTTTCTGTCTCCATCTCCTCCGCCGACTCAAGTCCCTCGGAGTTCCTGCACCCGAGCTCCTCAGTGTTTACACAACAATCATACTTCCCAAGCTCACCTATGCCTCCCCTACCTGGTCTTCCTCCCTAAATGCCACACAATGTAAACACCTAGAAAAAGTGCAAAAGAGGGCATGCAAGATTATTCTTTCCCCTTCCTACTCCACATATCAAGAAGCGCTCAACACACTGACCCTTTCGACTCTCACTGACCATCACCACGACCTCATCTGCAAATTTGGTAAGAAGCTTCTACACCATCCTCGACACCGGCTCCTACTACCACCTGAGATCCCTAGCCCGAGAATTGCTGTTCGACACCACAACCGCATCCAGCCCATACGTGCACGAACTGATCGCTATAAGAACAGCCCAGTCCCAACCATTGTAAAATTATCAATAACTTGTAATAAACCAGTGTATTCACTCCCAGTAAATACTACTTCTTGCACTGTCACTATGTTGAAATGCACTGTAGTTTGAGCTTTTCCCCATCTAGTTATTATATATCTTATTTGTATCACTTATGTTACTTGTATATTATTTGTAATTCGAAACCCATTCCCCAAATATGTAACTGTATATTTTCAGCCTTCTGGCTGCCAAGCTCTTTCAATAAACCGTTAATTATTATTATTATTATTATTATTATTAAACAAACCGCACAGCAGCAAGGGTTGTGTAGCTGCAGCCGTATATCTTTTAATTTTTTACCTACTGACTAAGTAAATAATTGTATTTTTTGCAGTAAATCAACAATATTAATTAAATTAATTGCTTTATTGTCCTGTATAGAGAATACTTGTAATTGCTAAGTACTATAATGAGGCAACAGTCTTTGTAAGGGGCTGATTTCAGTTGACCCTAAGGAAACCTCTGCTACAACTCATCAACTAGCGTCCTGGAAGACGCACGGTAATTTTCAAGGTATATTTTTGTAATAAAAAGTGTGTCTTCCAAGCCAAAAAACACGGTAAACAGTAATGCTGATAGCAAGACATAGAATCTATTTCATTAAAGATGAAAGACATTGTACATTTTGAAAAGGCAGAGTGCACTGCCAACATGACAGGTGCAATGAGCCTTCATGAGGCAAAAATTTATACCATTTGTCACAACCTTCTCTAGCATGTTTTTACTACACACCAGTTCACATCTCGTACTGCAACAACATACTCTGGTAGGTCATTATTGTACAATACTTCACAAGTCAGACAATTCTGACATTTTTAACTTGAGGCTGTGACCTGTAGTTTAAGAAGACCATTAAATATGGGTTTTGTTTCATTTCTTAGAGAAACAAAAAATATTCAACATATTTCATTGAGTATATTTATAAAGGTTAAATAGAAAAATAACAAGTAAAAAAGACCATGTTTCAGCTGATGAAAACACAAATGTTTCCACTACTGTCATTAGATGGCAGGACTGACAGGAATGTTGTCTGTTAGCACAGGCCAACAGCATCTACAGTAAGATTTATGACATCTGCGAGTTCTACTGCTACATTAGCCACCTTGAGTCTGAACAACTGTAGTCCAGGAAGCAGTTGTTCAGACTCAAGTTGAATTTTAATTTATTAATAAGTGTTTTAAACTGATGTGAGTGGTGATTTAAGGGTTTTTTGGTTATGTTTTGGGGCTGCAGTTCTGTACCCTGCTCTTGCACCCTGTCTTTCCCTCCAACACACATCTCTCACTTTTCACGTGATTTTTATTTTTTTATTATCATTTTAGCTGAGGTAAGCCCTGCTTAGTATCAATGACAAAATCCTCCCTAGCCAGTCTCCTTTGTGTATATTTTGTACAATATGTGTCATATAGCAATGATGAGCTCTTTATTAAGCCCTCAGACTTATAACAATTAATTAATGTTTATATATCGATTCTTTAATAGTTTTTTATATTATAATGTTAGTACAGTAGTGCACTTCAACAAATACTGTCTTTATATAAAGCGTATAACAAGGTTAGTGATTACAATAGTCCATCAATTATGAGATAGAACTCTCTTGATAGTTAAGTTACTAACAAAGTTGCTGGCAACAACAAAATAAAATAATGACAAGTGGACAGTCCTCCCTCATGTATCCCTGGCACTGGATGAAGCTATTCCACAGGTCAAAGTTACCTAACAGCTCAACACCCCCCCCCCATAAATCATGTGGCACAGACTTCTTCTTTGGTTATGTGCAAATCTTTACATGGTGAAATTGTCAATAAACAGTAAAATAATGGAAATAACCTTTATCCTCCAGAATGTCCCAAAAGCAGAAATATCAAAGAGACTAGGTAAGGTCTTGCCTGGTCAAAAAGCAGCAAGAAAATGTTGAAAGGTTTATAAATGCATCTCCTAATTATAGACAAATGAATCAAGAAACACCGAGTTTTAACCTGGTGAACTTGAATCCATGCTGGAAGAGCCATTTACAGTAGTTTGGTTGTTATGGCTTTTATACAAGTTCTCTTTGCTGCTGCCTTCAGAATGGGTCAATTTATGTTCAAGTACAGGTACTGTATAACAAAGGTTAGGTTAGGCCAGGTCAGATCAAGTTAGGATTGGTTAGGTACTGTATCTCACAGGTCAATTGTTAATTAACCAGGGTATGAAAGATAAATTTGACTGCAAAATAAATAAATAAATAAAAACATAACTAAATTGTTTTGCACGTACTTCTAGGTCCACCTCTTGTCATCATATGAGGTGAAGTACCAGGACCACCAAGAACACTTTTAGGAGGTGGTGGAGGAGGAGAAGTCACTTCTTCATCTCCATCCTGGTTCACCCATTTTTTCTTCTCTTCATCCCAAATAATCTGCAAAGACATTCATCTTTAATAAAGTACATTTCATGTTTATAAATGAGTGGCTCTGGCATAATTACAACTGCAACTTGGAGTCCATACCAACACATACAAAAAAAAAGTGTTTATGTGCTGTAATGCCCCAATAACCCAAAATAATAAGGGCTCAACCTTCACTGAAATATGGCAAATTCCAAATTATGAACAACAGAATACACCAATGAAAACAATGCATGATTTACAGTTGTATTTTTATCAACTGTTTGTCTATACAATATACCTGTAGGTGTTACACAAGAATTAGTTAGCTTAGCCAATACAATAGATTATATACATTAGATTCACAGACTTAATGCATTTTGTCTATTATCTATGTATTCATAAAAGATATTAACTTCCTGTGAAGATGACCATGCACTGGCTTCAAGGCCATCAAAGACCACCTGACAATCCTGCTAGGTGGAAATGCTTCAGGTGATTTCATGCTGAAACCAATGCCTCTCTATCACTGTGATGCCCTGAACAATGAAGGAGTATTCAATGGAGCATCTCCCTGTCTGATGGAAGTCAAACAGGAAGGCACAGGTTACAGCTGACATCTTTCAACTGATTTGTGTCAAGTTTTTGTCCTGCAGGGAAGTGGTATTGTAAGAAAAAAGATTTGTGAGGTCAAAGCACTGCTGTCACTTGACAATGCTCTTGTCACTCCAACAACTCTACACTACGTCTAGCAGCCAATGGACCAGGCCAACATAGGAAGCAGTCAAGCAATTGGTGAACTTAACAGACGACCAAGATCAGTCAATCTTGGATTTGAGGAAGTCCTACAACATAATGGAGGCAATTAAAAACATCAGTGTTTAATGGAAGCAAGTCAACAGCAGCTGCATGAATGGTGTGTGGGAAGAGGTGATGTCTGAGACATGTTGTGACTTCTGTGGCTTTGAAAATGCTACTTCTGCCATTATAAGTGGCATTGTTCACCTGGCCAACCAAATTGGATAAGATGAAGTTGATGCATACAATGTGGAGGAGCTGCTGAGTTCTCATGGAGACCCCCACTAAGGAAAAACTAGGAGCTAGAAATACAGAATGTTGTAGACGATATGGAAGATGATGCAGATGAAGCTCCCCAAGAAACTTCATGCCATCCCTGTTGTCAGAGGCCATTGCCAGGAATATATCTTCCATTATATAAAGGAAGTCACTTCGGTTATTTTAAGTTCTTCAGACGAATTCAATTATCTTTCCCAAATCACAAAATCTCCACACCCAATTTACCTTGACAAAAAATACTGAAGTACTATACCTCAAAATACTGAACTGTGAATATCAAATTGGTGAGGGTTTAGTGTGTGTATATGTACACACACACTAAAAGTGACAATGAATATATCTGCATCTTACTTACAGTGGGGTTCTTATCATCTGGAAGCACTGCCTGTTTAGATTTCTTCCAGCCAAATAAAGAAGTGATGGACCATCCCCCACTTTTATCCTGAGACTTGTCCAAATCTTTGTCCATTACCTTGCCCTCAACTGACTTATCTTTACTTGAGGTATCTGTTGCACTGTTCATGCTCTGGAATCAAATGCCTTTTATTAGACACAGTACAGTAGACATAATATATTCAAAAGATGTATTACAGACTATTTTCATTAAATTTATAGTGGCTGTGTAATTTTCAAATTATGTTTCCATGGATAATAAAATTCATTAATTAAGAAAATATATGACATGGACCACAGAGATTTGCTTCCATTTTTTTTGGCCACATGAAAAGATAACATGACTCTTTCTTGTATTCAACACATATCTACACCTATGAATACTGAATACATGCTAAAGCAAAATAATTACACATATTAATAAGAATTGCATTAAATGTCTATAACACAAAAGAAGACATGACTCTCTAGATAATAAAATGGCATGGCTTTTGACCATGTACATATACTATAAGCAAAAAATAAACAAACAAACATAATATACTTGACTTAAAACATAAGCATTCACAAGGCACAAAATAACTTAGGTCGTGCACAGGGCCCATTAGTACCTGAGTCATGTGACTGTTAGGGCCCAGTAGTGGAGGAGGTGGACTTGACATTTGTGATGATGGATGAGTAGGTGGCTGAAACAGAGGAGTGGAAGCAGCTGGTCCCATAGGACATGCCAGAGGAAGAAATCCTTTGACCAAAGGCTTTTCACACTCATTTGATGCAGGTGAATGTGATGGTTGTGGTGAAGGCGACGATAACGGCGATGGTGGAGATGAGGGGACGGTACTTGTGATGTCGGCAGTGTCCCCGATGCTCACGAGAGAGGCTTGGTGACGGTAGCGCAACTGGAAGCTGGCCTCAAAGTCTGGCTCTCCAGACCCTATTTCCTCACCATCTTCATACTCATACACGTCCCCTCCAAATTCATCACATTCCTCATCCTGATAGTCATAATTGTCATCATCATCAGGTATTAAAGGAATGAGGCCATCTTCTACGTTACGATCAACAGGATAGGTAATAGCAGCTCGATACGGTGAGGGTGGTTCAGCATTGTGATCACAAAAGCAATTATGGTGACTGACAGAGTTGGAGGAATGTGACTCATAAGGATGATAAATATGAGTGGGCATGGAACAAACAACATTTTGGGAGGATGCAGATGGGGAACTACTATGACTTGGAGCTTCTTCCTCATTATCATCATTGTGAGCAGCAGCATGTAAGCGTGCCTCAGCTCTGGCAATATCTGTGTCTCGTCCCAACCTCGCATGTTCATCGCAGAGGTTTGGGGCTTGACAGCAAATAGTATCAACTTGATATGTGCGTGGGGTAGAAATAGAGTTCTCTGCCTTGCAACTGACAGTACCAAAATGTCTTGCAGATATGGGATCATCAATGGGGAAGGAACCACCAAAAACCAATGGATTTGATGGGACTTTTAGTTTTTGGAAAAAGGGAAGCCTGGATGATGAAAATGTGCATGGAATGAGAGAAGGGGGTAATACTCGGCTGGGATGATTAGCAGGCAGTGTGGCCATCATTTCAATGTTGGCAACTCTACCAGGGAAGTGGTGGTGCTTTGTGCCAAGTAAAAATTCATTCTGGTCTAAATGCCTATGTGCTGATGCCATACTAACATGAGGTCTAGCAGGGTCAGTGCTACCATGAACTCTAGGGCCAGTGCCACTGGTTGTACCAGCTGAACTAGTCCTCTGCTCCTTCTTAGCCCAGTTCTCTTTTTCTTCAGTCTGACTTGCCTGAGGCTTGAAGGACACCCTCTTGGTCCTATTTTCTAGCTTCGTAGGCTGGACTGGGGTCTCCCCTCGGCAACCCTCTCGGTTCCCCCTTTCTGACTTCTTGTCCACTCTCTTGAGGTCATTGTTACCCTATGATCCACAGGACAAAGCAGTATAGCCATGGGTCACCTACCTCCACCTCTACAGCACTTAAGTTTCTAGCTTAACTATATCATTAGCTGTAGCAATATAAAGGTACTACTACTATCAATTTACAGGTATTTTGTTCACAAATTTAAAATACTTATGTAGTAATGGGCCTTGTGATAAAAACCTTCTCAATTTTATGAAAAAATTAAGTTCACTAATAAGAACCTATTGCTAAAAGTACAAGGTAATATAGTTAAATGGCCAGAAAAAGAAATTGCCTAAAAACCAAAAAACTCTCACAAACAATCCTTTAATTAATGTTCAAGTACATTGTAATGAAAATGTATGGAATAATTGATGAAGCTCCATAATATAAACAAAATAATTTTAGCTTATTTAATAAGGTTAATACTTCATATGCAAATAAAAAAATTGCTTAAACACCAGTAACTGACAATGAATCATTAGGTTTGCACAAGACTTTAAACCTGCCATGTGAATGGAAAGTTTCAGAAAATCATAGAAAATAGGATTTAGGATAAATAATTTTCGTCCCATAATCTCCTATAATTACAGTGATCCCTCAGTTAACGAACACAATTCGTTCCAGAAGCATGGGGTGATTTCTCTTCCACCCCCACTTCTAATTCCTATCATCATCATCATCATCATCAACCAGGAGCCTTCTACATACACACCTCAAAGTAAGAGTACTTTACTGCATTTTTTTTTACTTTGTATGTAATTTTCGGTGAGCTGGAACCAATTACCCAAAATCCCATTGAACAATGGTTTCGGTTTACAATTTTTTTTGTTAACGAACGACCTTCTGGAACGAATTGTGTTCGTTAACCGAGGAACCACTGCACTGATCATTTAGGAAATCATTGGTCCCATGTGTACAGATACTTTTTGCATCGTGTGGACCTCATACACTTGAGACCACAGTCCTACAGACTTCAGAGATGTTTTGATTTTCCCACCACATTTCAAATATCCTGGAGCTGCCACAAACCATATAATAATAATGCTATATTTTACCAGTAGTAATCATTCACCTTAAGAAACTTCACAGCTGCTCAGTTTATCAGAATGCACATCTGGCAGCCACAAATGATACCCATGTGTATGGTAGACACAAATGTAAACTTAGATGAATGACTGCATGGGAAGAGAGAGATCCAATTTTGATGGAAAGCTGTGATACAAACGAACATCATCATGATGGTTTAGTTAAATCATAAGAACTTGTCAGCATAGGAAGATGTAGTGGCCCACCATATCATGTGCAGACACACACACACACACACACACACACACACACACACACACACACACACACACACACACACACACACACACACACACACACACACACACACACACACACACACACACACACACACACACACACACACACACACACACACACACACACACACACACACACACACACACACACACACACACACACACACACACACACACACACACACACACACACACACACACACACACACACACACACACACACACACACACACACACACACACACACACACACACACACACACACACACACACACACACACACACACACACACACACACACACACACACACACACACACACACACACACACACACACACACACACACACACACACACACACACACACACACACACACACACACACACACACACACACACACACACACACACACACACACACACACACACACACACACACACACACACACACACACACACACACACACACACACACACACACACACACACACACACACACACACACACACACACACACACACACACACACACACACACACACACACACACACACACACACACACACACACACACACACACACACACACACACACACACACACACACACACACACACACACACACACACACACACACACACACACACACACACACACACACACACACACACACACACACACACACACACACACACACACACACACACACACACACACACACACACACACACACACACACACACACACACACACAGAGTTCTGCTATAACGCGATAATTGTGTTCTTGTAAAATATCGTTATAGAAAATCGCATAATAGAAATAACAGGGCTTATGGAGAAAATAGGGTTAGGTGCAGATTACTCGAAATCGAAAAAATTTCGTAGTTAGCCTAACACAAAGGATAGCACAATCTAAATAAATGTTACATTCATATCTAATAATGAAATCATACAGTAAATGTAACACTTTACCTTGAAAAAATATGAATGTAACTTGATGGGGGAGAAGGGCGATTTTGAGGTTGATAACATCGAGCTTCTCTTCAAGTGTTATATCCTTTCTTTTACGATCATCACCGGGAATTCTATCACCAGAACGCTTCATGGAGATATTCTTCTTTACCATATTCACAATTAATACCACAAAATTGGAGAAATAGTAAGCAAAAATCGCGTTATAGCAAACAAGCGTTCGTGTTATACAAATATCGTTCCTAATTCATAAATCGCGTTAGAGCAAATTCGCGTTATCAAAACACGCGTTATAGCAGAACTCACTGTGTATATATATATATATATATATATATATATATATATATATATATATATATATATATATATATATATATATATATATATATATATCTTGATAAAATCACACGGGAAAATGGAAACAACGGAGTACCTTAGCTTTCGTCTTTATTCAAGACATCTTCAGAGGCAACTGGATTACATGGACAGAGAGAGGCTTAAATATACAGGGTGACCTAAAAACATGAGGTCAGGTCATAATGATGACATCCACTAATCCCCACACCAACACAAAACCGAGAGCTTAAGAGAGAATTGGTGGTTGACGATTGGGTCCAGGTCAGAAAATATCTTGAATGTTGATCTAAAGCATAAGTATCCGCTTGCTTCCATCTCGCAGTAAGATTATATATATATATATATATATATATATATATATATATATATATATATATATATATATATATATATATATATATATATATATATATATATATATATATATATATATATATATATATATATATATATATATATATATATATATATATATATATATATATATATATATATATATATATATATATATATATATATATATATATATATATGACTCAACTCAACGTTCCAGAAGGTCGTTAGTAACCCGAAACCATTGTTTCAATGGGTTTTTGGAGTATGGTTCCAGCTCACGAAAATTTCCTAAATTCAACAAAAATGGTAGTAAAGTTCACTTACTTTGAGGTGTGTATGTAGAAGGCTCCTGGATGATGATGATGATGGGACTTAGAATGGGGTGGAGGGGGAAGGAAGAAGAAGGCATTGGGGTGGAAGAAGTCACCCCATGGCCATTTCACCATAAAATTTTAGCTCTCTTGGTGTAATTCAAGATTATTTTCTTTAAATCAACACTGCACTGCATTATATATTGTCAATATGTAAATATATTTCAAAATGACCATAATTTGCTTGAAACACAGAAAAAGCATTTGAAGAGTCTCAAGCAAGATGTTATCCAGTGAAAACAGAGAGACTAACTCCTGTTTGCGTGTTAAGAGGCTGGATGCATTAAACTAGTCACTTTACCTTCAATTATGTTCAATAATTGTTAAAATGACTAAAAATTGAATATAAACTTTTAAAATTATTGAATAGTATAAACTTCTTGATATTTACTAAAATAGTAAGGAATTTAAGCCCTAGAACCGATTAATGTATTGGCGGACTGATACTAAAGCTGGTTGCCGGTCAGGCATTAGCGAAACATGTTGAAGTCGTTCATAAGAACCGTTAACCAAATTTTTTCAAACAATTGAAGATCATATGGAAGGCAGTTCAGTCGAAACATGCGTTAACCGGTGTTAAGTTAAGCAGGGTCACTGTGTGTGTTATTATATATATATGTATATATATATATATATATATATATATATATATATATATATATATATATATATATATATATATATATATATATATATATATATATATATATATATATATATATATATATATATATATATACTAACTGTATGTATATTTATTCAAAATTTAGATGAACTATTCAGGATTATTTTAGTAAAAAAAAAGTTTTTCACACATAAAAGAAAAGTCCCCAAATGTGCATTTCATGCCCCCCATTTTCTTTGTTTCCATTAAGAAAACTGGTCTGAACTCGGCTCTGGATAACCTAGCTGAAATTGTCAAGTTAAGAGAAAAAAAATTGGTATGACTCAAATCTTCCTGAAAGGTTAAGTTTCAATCTATTTAATAAAAGCAAGTTTATGTAATAATTGCATATACAGTACAATGTTAAAAATAAACCAGTCACTTGAGTGACATCTTAATAAAATATAGGATTGGAATATTTTCCTTAATCGCAACATGCATAAATAATGTTTTTAAGTATACATTGCATTTCTTATCTCCTCTCACTGTATCTTTAATACAGCTACACCTGTCCACTACTTCATTCACTGCTCAAATTCATTCACATCCTTATACAGTATGGTGCTACAGTAAAACCTTTATTATCTGGCATTTAAATATCTCAAAACTTAAGTGTTTGTCATTTTCAATTTCTCAAATTGCTTTTATTTGGTCACTTCATTGATGAATACATTCACTCACAATACTCTAAAATGTTTTTACAGTGTTTTAAAAACCTTTATCAATGTTTACAATTGTCAGTATTACATGAATAATATACTTTCACAACATTTCTATGAAGTAAATTTTTTTTAATAATAACTACAGTACATCTAGTAATCAACAAATTTTCATGGCTGGTACTTTGTAGGTCCTGCAGATGCCACATAATTAAGATTTTTCTGTACAGTACGAAGACCTTAAAACCACTGATAAAAACAAGCCTTAATTAATCCTAACCTTCATACTGTATTATGTGGAAACAGTTCCATTCTGAAAGATTATAAGGAAATACTGTAATACAGCAACACTAGACATACTTCTTAATGCCCTCAACCAAAAGCAGAATCCATACTGTACATTTCACATTCATCACGCATCTCCAGACTTGTTGTGCATCATGTGACTGAATTTTAAATACTGTATACTGTACTATATTTAGACAATTTGTAGAATTAGTAACCCAAATACATGTATAAATAACTGAAACATTGGAGGGAGAAAATTATCTACATTAAATTTTCATATTCACATCACAATTGTATTTTTTTTCGATAGTCAGTGGACAGCATATAACACTGTCAAACAAAGGCTAAGCAAACAAAATAATATTTGACTTCAGTATCACTATAATATTCCTTATTGAAAATAAGAGCTAAGTTAATAATTCATTTCACTTTGACAAATGCAGTAATCAATAACTCAAAATATTGAAAAATTGATAAATGAAAAAACAGAATACTGTACAAAACAAAAGATGAATTGAAAAAAAATTTACACATACGAAAAATGCACGTTTAGTTTTTCCAAGCACACAACGGACAAGTCAGAAGACACGGTGATGTGTGGGGACATGTAACATGATGTGGACTGGCCAGTCTGTTTTCAATGGAAAGGAATTATTGTGATGAATGTTGGTGAGGTCTTGTCCTCTTAAAAACTTTTGACAGGCCACTTTAATTTGCAAAAACACAACAGTTACAGATTACAAAAGTTCATTTTGGAAGAATTTAAATTGTTCTTGGTGTTGAATGGGATGTATATTATTGTATTAATTTTTCTTTTTATCTTTCAAATAAACAAGCCTTTTCCAGGTATGAAGCAAGGTAGCCTGGTTGTGCTGACTCCCTGATTCTTAACACTCAGCTGCTAATGGGTTAACTCCACACCCTTGACATGGAGCTAGTCCACTGAAGGGTTGTTCACGTGTCAGCAAGTGCACCTGATGTTATACTTGTTCTAATGCCGAGGGTACAAGGGCTAGCTAGATAAACTGTCTAAAACTGAGCTAGAGCTTATACAGTATTAACATTTAATAGTGAATAACAACTGTATATCCATAAAACATTTAGATACCTGCAGTAAATAAGTTAGGGAGTAATGTTCTTGGCTAATTCTAGGGTGTTTGGCACACAACTTAATTTTTCATTCTCTTTTGTCTCTCATTTAATCAAACACACAAAACTTTTAATAAAGGATGGCGTGCACAACAGAGGAGGAGCATAATGTATATGCAAAGTAAAATTATAATAAACAAAACCAATAATTTGATTTTCAAATTCTCTTTTATGAGCTCGAGTCAAATTTAATAAATATACTTCGCATTTAAATTGAAAAACCCCTAAAAATAACAAAATGCAAAATTCTCCCTCACTCACCTTTTTCCCACTCATTTCTGCCCAATATGCCTCTTCCTCTGGGGTTCTCTGAGAGTGAGCACTAAGCTCCGACTCTGTAGGTTCTGGTGATCTAGGTGGCATATGTCCTGGTGCATCAGTGTTTACTTGTTGATGCTGCTCCCAAGTTTGATATGACTGGTAGTTACTCAAGCTACTGGGTTGTGACAATGTAACACTACCAGGCCTTTGTTCTCCACTCACATCTGTTGGGATAATGTAAAACTCATACTGATCTTCTTTATGTACACAATAAATAATCCACAAGATGATACTCCAATATATATCAAGCCTAAATTACCATGTCATAACTCTAAAATTTCATAAATATTGAAATACAGGTAGCATATAAAAGCTTTCTTGTGGTGGATTTTAAACATGGTTTTGAAACTCTTTTCACTGACCAATAACCAGCCTTGATCAACATATATCCTGGTAGATATTCAAAAGGTGAATCATCTGAATTATGAAGGATTAATGCTTCAAATTCACTTATGAGTTAAGATAATATGTATTATGGGTCATTCTTGCCACATCAATACAAAGCCCATCCCAAGTGCTCTATCAGCTTTGTGGAAAATTGTCAAAATATCAACAAAATAAATAATCTTGTTACACACACACACTATCATCCAGCAGAATGTTGCAAGTCTCTCTTTGTTTAAGGGGAAGTGATTTCACTGTTCTTGTTATTTTACATCTTAATCCACTTTATTATTAAGGAAGGCAATTAAAACTTATCTTATCCACGTTACTACTATTAAAAGAAAGGTAATTAGAACTATAATATCCCCGTTAGCTGGAATCCTTTAAACCAAGAACTCTCCGATAGCCGGAAATTTAATTTTCTCGGAAAATCGTTCACAAAGCTGGAATTTTTCAGAAATTTATGGCTTTGAGAATGATTTTCTGGGGGGCACATTTTCTGGAAAATTCTGAGAAAATTTTCCCAGTACCCGGAAAATTCCAGGGATGGAGGACTTTTTTTCCGGGTTCGAGACATGAAAATCAGGCACATTTTCCGGAAATTCCAAGAAAAATTACAGACAATTCCGGGGATGAGGGATATTTTTCTGGAGTCGAGAGATGATGTAATGTGCAATTTAACGAACTTCCGAGAATATTATTCCATTGCCCGAAAATTCCGGGGATGAGTGATTTTTTCCGGCTTTGAGAGATGAAATAATGCATCACTATGGAACTTCCGAGGGCATTTTTCGTTACCCGGAAAATTTCAGGGATGAGGGATTTTTTTCCAGCTCTGAGTCTCTCTCATTACCCAGAAATCTCTCTTTCCCGGCAGTGCTCTGCACCAATTATTCTGGCTAACAGAGATATCACTGGTATAACCTTATCTTGCAAAATCAGCAAGAACCATAAATGTCTAACTCTTTGAGCTGAAAACAATACATCTGATCAGAGTAATGAACAGGAACCCTTGCCGAGTGATCCACTCAAGTTTATTATTACTGTGCAAGCTAAATTAGGAGAATAGTGTTCCAAGGGCAACAATTATGGTCATTTGGTGCTTTTAGCTCAAATGGCAAAATCCATATCATTCGGTCAATTTTCTTGTTTCTAAAAGACTGGTCCAGTGGTCCTGATATGCTTAGAAAAGTTATCTACCATCAGAAGAAAAAACTGAGTGAGAAAAATAAAGCAAAAATATCAGAGATAAGAATGCTACATCCTTGATCACAAAGCAATGCAACAACAAAAATAGAGTAATTATTTGCTGTTTAGTCTGAGAATATTTTCCCTATCAAAATGCGAGGAAATTTTAACTTTTTATTTTTTACTTTTGTGTGATTATAATGAGTAATTTTTTCGAGAACCTTAAATATTTATTACATTTCAGGAAGTGCAATAAAGAGGAACATAAAAATCAGTAAAAATACAGTCTGATCATTGTTTAGAATATTATGTTAGTCAGTATCAACGTAAGCCACCCTCACATAAATTATCAGGCTATCGCTACATGTCTACTTCAGTGGCGCCTCTAGTGGTTTTTAGTTTTGTTTCAGTTACTGTGGAAGAAAGTGTTTTTCTCATCCAGCATCACATCAAAAATGCTTCAGCTAAGAACTGTAAAATCACATTTCAAAGTCATTTTGGTGTTTTCCTGTTTATTTTACTCCCTAAAATGTAGTATTATTTGGGGTTCTTGGATAAAAAAAAATTATCCTGTATTACAGTACATAATAACAAGCTGAAAGCAACATAGGAATAGATAAAAATGTACTGCGATCCCTTCAAAGTCTGCCTATATGTGTTGTCTAATGGCAGACCCTTCTGCCATATGGCATCACAAAAATTGTGACTAAGTCCAGGGTTGCTGATCTGACTTTCTGCCTCATTTACACACAATTGCAGGGTCTCAATTGTTTCTCTTACTATTGACAACACAACATACATAATGTCGTTTCTCACTCTTGATTTATTTTTTAATGTTTTAATATATTTACAGTATGGTTATTATTTTTATTATAATTTTTTATTTATTTTATTATTTATTGTTATATTTTCGCCCTCCAGGACATGATGTGGGTCAGTGACCTGTGCGTGGGTGAGCTAATCCCCATAAAAAATTTTTTTACAATACAATGAACATAACATACAATTTAAAAACTAAGCATAAAAGAGAGCTAACCAGAAGATGGTGGAAGGCTGCCATGTGTCACTTCTAAGGAACTTCTCTGCATGTACAGTGAAGCAATAGGTTCCTGTTCAGGGTATCCTGACAAGTATCCACCACTGTACATGTACTGCATCTGATCCTGAGGAGGAGGTTGCATCATAGAAACTTCACCAAGTGATGCATTCTCCTGTAAGTACAGATAAGTACAGATAAAAATAATAGTACTACAGTAAATAAATGTCTTTTTTTCATGCTTACAAGTGTTAGTGTAGTAAAGCCAGAAACATAAGCAAACATATTTTTCCTTTCTTCATTCACTGTTATTAAGTCACACTTATTGCTGTTAACAAGTAATATCAGTTTGACAAAATGGATTTTCATAAATCATACTGTACCCACCTTTAGAAAACCAAAGTGAATGATCATCATGAAAAATGAGATACTGGAAGAGGTTAAGAAACTCAAGTTCTGTACTTGGATGTGATGTCAGTTAAGAAAATAAAGTGTAATGATTTTACCTGACCTTTTGCACATTTTCATAAACTTATGGAAATACTGGAACTCAATTATCCAACATTTAGTTATCCATAATGCAGTGTATCATAACTGTGTATGGGTGAGACAGAATATTGTTCACACTCATGCTCTTCACTTTTCTTTTTTATAATTTTTTAAAATAATTTCTTCTAATGCCAAGTCACATTAGGCTACTGAAATGATTTTCCCACAAATTTTATAATTTCAATACATGAAACAGTGGCAATGTAGTCATCTCAAGGCCACAGCTGCGGCAATGCGTGTTATGCAGGTGTGTATGGGAACCACTTTCATTTTCAGTAGAGATGAAATGGATTATGATAAATACATACAGTATACAGAGGGTCTTCATTATATGTCAAGGATGTGTTCCACAGAAATGCAACTTATAGTCAAATGTCTCATAATGAGGAATTTTCCTCCAGAAGAATTAACGTAATTAGGAGTAATGCAAGGTACTCCTCGACTTACAACCACCCGGACATACGACTGCCGCACTGCCGCAGTCATATAAAATATATTTCAAATTACGTATTTTCGAATCCCGATGTTAGTGATCGCGCTGTGTAATGACAAAATTTTTGTTTGTAATTCCCTTTAAAATGGCTGGCAAGCGTAAAAGTGAGAGTTCTAGTGGTGCTCAGAAGAAAGAGAGACACCCATTTTAGATTTTTTATGTATTATTTTCGCACTTTCGACTTACAACCTGGTTGTCGGTCCCTAACCCCGTCGTAAGTCGAGGATTGACTGTATATTCATTCCAACGTGTACAGTAATACCCGTTGAAAGCTCAGGTGTTCCTGCAGAGAGAACCTTCAGCAAATCAGCTCACAATGGGGTCACTATAACATACTGTACTATATAGTATTTGATATGGAGATATGTTCAAAATGTTATTTGTTGACCTTGAGTGATAGATGGTGGCTCAATTTGGCAAACTATGAAATTAAGACAACTAATTAGTGAATAAACCAGGGCATATGAAGAGGCATTATACACCACAACAATATTTTTTAAGTTCTGATAAATATGCTATAATATTATTTACTAAGTGCTGAACAGAGATCCTGTGGTAGGCACCAACCCTCTTGAGCAGTGACAACAACGGAGTTTGAAAGATGGGAAGTGCTGGCAACATTGTTAGGGAGAACATGAACAATCAGCTGTCACTGCTCTTTAAACAAGACTGTGAATATACTATAACACAATAACTCATCTGAAATTGAGTGTGGGATTTGCAGGAAAGTTGTCCTCTCAGTCCAGCCAGCACTCCCTCCCTGTTACACACCCAAGTGTAGTTTTTAATTTTTTTCACTCCATTTTTTACATGCAAACCCTCCACTGTACAAGAATTGAACAAAGTTTTCTAAACCTCAATTTTCTGGTGTTGGAACACTTATGTGATTTAATTGTCTGTGGTCAGGTGAACAGTTGTTTGGCGAGTCATTTTGATTGTATGAAGTAACAATTAAACCATAAAGAAATCTTGAGGTTGTGTTGTGGATTGGAACATCAAATCAAAACAAAGTGAGAGAATAAATGACCAAGTGATGGGAGAATCTGTGGTGCTCTCGATACCAGCCACCATGTACCATCTAAGACAAAAGACCAGTGATTGAGAAATAAACTCTCACAAACACACACACACACACAATAAATTAATATAGTATAGAAATAAAACTGCAGTACAGATATTTAACAAACCTTGGAAGGATTCACCATATCACTTGGTTGTCCAGCTTCACTAGGTAACTGAGCATCTACTCGTTCTACTGGTGACTGAGAATCTAATAGGTGATTTGAAGCATACATGTTTTGATGCACGCCATCCACTGCATTAGCAGGGGGAGCTTGTCCAACAAAGGCATCTCGTCCTATGTCTTGCTCTTGTGAGTACGAATTTCCACTGGTATTATCTATATTGTGATGATAGGATTTATCTGAATTAGTAAAAGATGATGGGTACACTCCAGAAGATGAATATGGTACTTGCTGATTATGGTCAGTTGTATCGGCTAATTGAAGACCAGAATCCTGAACCACCTGATGGTCTTGAAGAGTTTGAGGGTTATCTTGCTCTGTTGCTGTTTGAGATATATGTGCTTTTGATAAATTGATAACACTTTTAAGATTAGTAAGCCATTGTGGATCTGGCATTTCTGATACTTCTCCCTGACACATCTGATAGTGAAGATCATGATACTTGAGACGGGAGGCCAGGTCATACACCTGGGAAAGGAAGTCTGTCTGATGTGATGCTGGAGTTTTGCTTACCAACTGACTGATCACCTCACAGTATCTGTAAATTAAAACTTTCATAAACTTAAGAGAAATCAATATATATAATAACAACAGTTCTGATAACACTGTATAATATACCTACACTAGACCCCAGCGTAGAAAAAGACATGGTGTGGCAAATGAAGTAATATTTTTAACATTATTAATCTTTCACTGAAAGAGAGGTTCCTTCCTCAAACCAAAATCAATATACAGTCTCTCCTCAACTTACGACGGCCATGGTCGTATAAAATATTTTTCACATTACGTTTTCTCAAGTCCTGACGTTAGTGATTGCACTGTGTACTGACAACATTTTTGGTTGTAATTCCCTTTAAATTTGCTGGCAAGCATAAAAGTGAGAGTTCTCTTGGTGCTGAGAAGAAACGGAGACACCCATTTTAGAATTGCTATTTATTATTTTCGCCTTTTCGACTTACGACCAATTCGACTTACGACCTGGTGGTCGGGACGGAACCTCGTCTTAAGTCAAGGAAAGACTGTACAGTACTACTGTATTAAAGCTTCATGTAGATTTGACATGGCATTATCAAGGAATAAATTAATTTTAGCACCAGTGAACTTTTTTACCCTATGAAAAAAAAAACCTTAATTTTCCCTCTCCTCAAGAACATTAAACCATCGAAGTGTTCAGTTTAAGGGCAATTTAAAGCGAATAAGGAACTGAAAATTTATTTTTAGTACGAAAGACTGATTTTAAACCTGAATCCAAATCACAAAAATCTTTTTTACCCTTACAGCAACCTACTCTTGTAGACTGAAAAGTATTGAAAAAAAAGTTTGTATCTCTTGTGATAGCTCATAAATAATAAAAGTTATCGGAAGGAGACAAACAGACATTGCCACACTTATGTAATGTGTAAATTGTGGGATTATGAAACTAATTTTAGAAACAGTCACTAACTTCTGACCCATTGCTCTCAAAATCAATAGATATCTTCCAATCCCCCTGTGAAATGTATCTACACTTCCCTCCCTTGCTTTGCATGAATTCACTCTGCATACAGTTGCCACTATATGGTTTATTTTGCAAAATTTAAGTATGTATGGCAGTGATTCCCAAATTCATGGGCCAAGGCCCAGTCTGTGTAACAATCAAAATAAGTGCCAAGCTGAGTATTGTGGGAAGCACAATGCAATGTGGGAGCAGAGGCATTAAATGTGTGAGGCTCCAAGCATTCATATCAACATGTCTTTAATTTGCCTACACAACTGCTCATATACATTTTCTGTTTGTTCTGTTATTGTAATTGAATCTTTGGTAAGGGCTTCAGCAACCTTGAGAAAATGTATCACACTCCAATACAATGCCAAAGTGTCCTAGAGCCCCACAAAAGCCAGGATCTTGCTCAATTCAACTGTTGAAACTTCTGTTTTTGAACAGAATTATGATTCCTCTAACCTAACCCTTCCACTTCATACATAACCTATACACTCATATCATGCATTCCATCACTTTTCTAAAAAGGGAAAGAGAACACTAATTTTTAAAATAATTAAAAAAGGAGAGAGCTGCTTCAGTAATAACAGGAAGTTCTTGTGAACATGAACAAACTGAACAATGAAGCTCTGTTCATGTCTGGATGAGTTCAACTTGAACCCATCACAAGATTTTTACTTGGTACTTTCAAACTCAACACACTCTTGAAATTACCACCATACTTGTTGTTCAAAGCAATGGTTTGACCTAGTTCCCTTGTGTGAGTAACGATTATACAGCACAGTATATTGTCAGCTTGGAAAATGTATCTTGCCTGCTGCCTTCCATGCCAGAACAAAATACATACATACATACATACATACATACATACATACATACATACATACATATATATATATATATATATATATATATTATATATATATATATATATATATATATATATATATATATATATATATATATATATATATATATATATATATATATATATATATATATATATATATATATATATATATATATATATATATATATATATATATATATATATATATATATATATATATATATATATATATATATATATATATATATATATATATATATATGACAAAATATGAGGGCAGATGATAGTAATAAATACCTTAGAGCTTCAGTTGGAAAGCCATACTCTGTCAACCTAAGTGCATAAACAAGTTTGTATGGCTGGAATGTTTCCAGTAACGGGTTGCTGCTGTCAAGGGATCGAGCAAACTCGTACACTTCAGTGCACTGTATGGCTTCATTAGTAGCAAAGGCCTGTGGATTAAAAAATTTGTTAAGCAAATTTTTCAAGAATATCCAATAAGAGAGCAAATATGAAAAAGTCAAGAGGGCACAGAGAAATAACTTTTATACTGTGTAAACAGAACTGATTAGTTGGTGAAATATTCAAGACTGAGTAACACCAAGTGAAAATGATAACTGTGAAATGGGGATCAATCCTGAAATCCCATTTTATGATCAGAAGTAGGCAGTTGGTAATTACAGAGCTGTGAACTACCTGTAATTATATTTTATACCACCATCAGTGGTGTGAACATATTACATTTTGATACCACCACAACTTGGTGTTAAGTAAAATTATTGTTATTCTGCATTAATATATACATAATACACATAAAAACCTTGATTTTTCATCTTCCTTTACTTTATATAAGTTCACAGTGACTATAATACATAGTAATACACAAAGTTAACAGGTGCCTTAATGAGAATGGATAGTGGTAGCAGGCACTTCCAAGTTAATGTTGATATACAAGAAATTAGTCCTCCCATGCCAGAGTATGTCATCAGAATAGCCCACAAGGAGAACAAAAACAGATTATGACCTGACAAGTGTACAGTAAAGCCTCGAATAGCAATCGTAATGTGTCCTCCAATATTTCAGTGTAGGGTGAAGCCTTGAATAACAACAGTAATGTGTCCTCCAATATTTCAGTGTAAGGTGAAGCCTTGAATAACAACAGTAATGTGTCCTCCAATATTTCAGAGTAGGGTGAAGCCTTGAGCAACGACAGTAATGTGTCCTCCAATATTACAGTGTAAAGTGAATCATTGTATCGTGAATCATTAATTACCATTAAAATAAAACAATATTGATGAGATGCATTCCCTAGTGACCTTTTCATATCTTGTGTGAGGCTTTTTAACCTCTTTTCCCAATAAAACAATAAAATTAATGAAAAATGCAAACTATATTCTCTAAATAATGTTTGTGAATGCACCTTATAAAATATAAATCAATAATTATATGGTCAAAAGAGGAGATGGGATGTCATTGTTGTTGTCAGTGTTTACACCCATAATGTCAGTTATCCATCTGAAAATGAAGAAATTATAAACCTGATTGTTGATGTAATAAGATTAATGTTAAAAATTATATGTTTTAATTAATATTATTTAATGTATGTACAGTACAAGTGACCACTGATGGTAAAGAAATAAAGTGAAATCGAGTGCGCAAGGCCATCATATGTACATACACACACATGAAAACATAGCATCATTTCTCTACATAGGAACATGAAAACAACACTTATTACTGTTCATGCTTTTGAATGTAAAACAAAAATTCTACTCACCAATGGTGATAAAGTAAAAACTTAAGGACACAGCCAATGTCATAAATTTGTGAAAATGTGAAGTTGGGGTAATCTGTTGGCGTGTTTCGCGCTCGTTCAAATTGCATAAGTTGCTCATTTGTTAGGTCTTCTCCCTCACTGTTTAATAGCTCCTAAATATTCTCATCATCAACTGAACACTTTCTTAAAACTTTCTTCATTTTTACAGATAGTTTCATTGTTGATTCCGCCATCCCCAAAGCATGTGAAAAATCCACAGACCTCTCGCCTTTTTCCTATCGTTTTATCACATCTAGTTTCTCGGCTGAGCTTATACACTTTCTTTTAGCTTTTGAACCAGCACTACCATCACTTGCTCAAGTTAAATAGGGGCACAAAAATGCCATAAGAAACCTGAGAAAGTTTTTCTCCTGTTCCTGTTCAGATGAGTGAAAACAAAGGGCCCGCCAAGCTGACACTGTTTATATTAGTGATGCTGACGTCCCCACTCACAAGCCCGGCAGCCTCCGTGCACAAGGCGTGTTTTTTTTATTTGTATACTACATATCTGGATTTAGTTACTACTTATATGAAAATTTAATTTCATTCTATTTTTTTTTTCATTTTCATAGTAAATAAGAATAAAATAATGGTGTAAATTGAATTGGGTCCTTAATTAACCAGTGTCTTAATTATGAATCATTGTTAGTAGAACTGTCATTATTGGAGGCTTTCCTGTACATGGATTCTCATGTTATTGTGTGACAGCAATATAATTGGAAGCCCCTCGAAATCGAGGATGGCAGGCCCAAGGGCTTCCTAGGCGTGAATTTTTGAGGTGTAGAAGCTGTCGCCGACACAACAACCACACCCCAAGTTAACGAGCTATATGACCCAGTGTCAAGGAATAGTCCGAGAAGACTGAACAACTCGTCAACTGCACTGGCTAACCATTACCCCGAAATACGATCCATAAATCGATTAACATCCAGGTTCCCAATTACTACTGGGTAGACAGAGGCAAATGGCATAAAGAAACTTGCCCATAGTTTCACCCTGCCCGGGGATCGAATTCAGTTCCACTCGCTTGCGAGGCGAGGATGCTGACCATTACACCACAGGTCGCAGCAATATATAGGTTAATATACAGGTTGAAAGACATGATCATATCTTACATGCGCTGCTTACCAGTACATAGACATATAAAAAGTTATGTGAATGCTTTTAGATAGAAGTGGAAGCTATTAATAACATTAAGTATTATAATAAGGTTTGTGTAACTTATGTTGTGACACACAAATTAACTGCCTGTTAAACAGTACTATAAAATAATACCAAATAATTACCTGGAAAGGAAGTTGATGAGAAGCTCCTATGAGGACAAGTTTAGAGTCCTTACTAGAGTATGAACCCCATTCAACTTCAGCCATAAGGTAACAAAAATGGGCAGCATAAAGCTGTCCTTGAGTGGCCAGAGTGTCCCCTAGGGTTACTATGGATGCCCGATCTCGTTGTGTATGTCCCGTTGGGTTGGAGATCATTACTGCCAGATGTTGCCGCCAATCACCCCATTGAAGTGGAGTGTAAGTCTGACGATGCACAAAATTTAAATATATAATAGGTCACCTAGCCCATCCATGTAAAGACTCAGTGGTCTGGTAAAACTAACATTATTTTATAACAATACAACAATAATAATGTAAGGATTTGAGGCACCCTTCAGTGTACATTAATCTATTCTAGAACAGAGAATGAGTGATGGTGTTTAAATATAAGAAGATTCAAGTTGTAAACTTCTTATGTAAGAAAAACACAAACGTATATACAAATGAGAGAAGACGGATTTTTAAAAAAAATTTGATAATTAAAAAGATGTGTGTGAAACAGATGGCATGTTGAAAATGCTAGGCAATAATGTAAACTTATACAGTACTGTACTGCAAAAAAATCCCATGACGGTTAGATTCATAGTTGTTACAAAATTATGTAAGAAAAACACAAACGTATATACAAATGAGAGAAGACGGATTTTTAAAAAAAATTTGATAATTAAAAAGATGTGTGTGAAACAGATGGCATGTTGAAAATGCTAGGCAATAATGTAAACTTATACAGTACTGTACTGCAAAAAAATCCCATGACGGTTAATGATACATAAAATTAAATTACAAAATAACTAATATTTCATACCTTGGTGATTTCTGGCCTCTTTCCTGATAACTGTTGAAAGAGTGTTAACAAAACATCGGTAGATGGGATGGAGCTAGAGAACGCAGCTAACACACGGGTGTGGGTGGTAGTGTCCATCTTGTACGACAGGGCAAGAGCATGACCCCATAATCCTTCTTGCACAGCATAGTCCACAGCTTCTCGTTTTCGGCCCAGACACAGGTACTCCGTGAATTTTTTGACCAGTAATGCTTCATCTCTCTCTGGTGTTGAGATCACAGCTTGAGACTGCACATCTGTACCTTCGTCCTGTGGACCTGCCTCAGAGGCCAGATTCTCTGGGGCCAGATTCTCTGGTTGCACATGTGTATTATTGTGTTGTGGCTGAGCAGTTACTTCCCGGCCCTTCAGTAACAGTCCCGCTACATCACTACCATAAAGTTTACCGTTCTGTTTAACCAACAAAGCTAGATACTCCCAAGTGAGCATAACTGATTCCTTATCTGGTAAGCTTAGGTTTCTAGCAGCCTCAGCAACCTGTTGCTCACAGTACTTGACCACCACATCCTTGTGAGTATCTGATCTGTGGAGAGGAGTCATCTTAATATTTGTTTAAGTATTGTACATGATAACATTCTAAAATTTAATGATAAAATTAATGAAACTTGCAAATTTTTTAAGCACATTTAAAAACTCATTTTATTATTTTCCTTGTTAGACCATAAATTTCAGTTTAAAACATTATGTACTCAAGACAGCTGAAATAGTTTTATTCATATAAACTAATGTTAATGACAAACTAGAGCTAACATTTACCATTTAACTTTTGAATAGTACTGTTAATACAATACAATAAATCTTCCTCACTTCAAAGGCAAATTAAATTTAACAGAACTCTATCCAAAATTACTAACTCCACATAGGTCAGACATCCACCCCTATATAGACCCTAGACAATATGTTAACACGGAAAAAATAATGCTCCACCACGCACTACAGTGTCCGTCTTTTTCATGACATGCTCACCGACACTGATAAACCCGGAAAGCCATTTTCTTTGATCACGGATGACTTTTTGAAAGGCTTCGACCTTAAAGATCACTTCATTGTCATCCAGGGACTCTTCAAATTAGGACAGTAATTCACACTTTTCCGCTGGTTCTGAAGCTTCCTTAGCTACCAGACACAGAGCTTCAGGTGCCTCTAGGAAGCTTAGTAAATGGAGCAGAACAACATGTGGTGTGCCTCAGGGTACTATGTGTGGACCCATCACCTTCCTGGCCATGATCAATGGTGTTGCAAGACTCCCACAGATGCCTCAAGTAAGTCAACGATCTACAAGGCATGCCCACTCGAGGAAGTCACCCAGGGTCTCAGGAAACAGCATGATCATCATCATACAAAAGTGCCAAGTTATGCACAAATTTACCAGTAAGAAACCCCTAATCCACCCGGATCTAACTATAGCTGACACCAGCATCCCGGGAGTGAAAAGCTGTAAACTGAAAGGAGTCTCCATCACTCATGGCAAGACCACAATAACTGATCAAAGCATACATTACATACAGTATATCCAACCAATGCTAACCAATCTTCCACACTGGGCTTACAATACAACAGGCAAAGCAGATAGAATGGATTCAACATTGGGTAATGAAAATAGCAGTGGGTTGGTACACTAGGTGTCAAAATGCCCTGACATATTTGAGATAACTACACTGGGACATAAGCATGAGGCCCTGTGCCTTAAGTTCACTATCAAAACTTCTGCTGCAGTGCCAGACTCAGGAAATTTTGTATCCCATATATTACATCCCAAATTAATTTACTTCATTTGTAACTTAAATTGTATCATGTAATGTTGTAATTCATGTGCCCAGAAACTTTACCCTCTAAGTAATTACTATTTAGAGAAGTTAAACCTTGATTTGTATTGTTGTGATGGTTTTTATACAACCTCTTATCAAGATTTATGTAAACCTGTGCATAGCACAGGCATAACCCATAATTTATCCATGCTCCTCGATATCATAAAATGGACTTGCGCTGATCTTTAAATCGTCAAACAAAAGTCTTGAGAATTGATCCCATTCAAGAACTTTCAATTTACCAGCAATCAACACACTTTTGTATTTTCCTCTTAGTTTTAATACAGTTTTCTTAATAGCTTCTGTGTAAGTGCTAGGACCTTCATCAGAAAACATAATGAAATACTTAAGGCGTCCAAAATACACAAATTACAATACTGTATGTTAGTCAAAGTGACAGTCCAGACATCTACCCATTCTAAAACACAAACACTAATTGATGGATGCTACCTCTGGGTAAGACAGCACCATGTGGCCCATTTCAGAGGGTATTTGCTATAATTGGGAAAAGATCATCTTAGGGTTTGAGATTTGGGATTTCTGAAAATATATGAATTACATAAATTTACGAAATACACAGGCAAAAATTATGAAGGTTATTGTGTACAGCATGTATATAATGTTTGCTTCCATACTAGAGTCTTGCCGTGAAAATGGAGTTGACCTTTGACTTTCCCATGACTTTGATATGAAGACCTGAATTTAGCCTTCTGCACAATGTCTGATTAAGTAGCACAATCATTTAAAACATCACCAAGATCAGTCAAGTGGTTTTGAAGAAATGACAGTAATTGTCACAGACCTTACAAGTAACTACATTATAATATACTTATCAAAAGAATATGCAGCAAAAGTACATTCCTAATCATCCCAAGATTATCTTACAATGTAAGTGGTCCTGGATAGTTTTTCATCTGCTGAATAGTTCTGTTCATTCCAGGGTCCATGCACAGCATCTTCTGCACATCACGCAATTGTACTAAGGCCTTTTCTCCATCCCTTGGGTCTTTTGGCAGCACCAAGGCCAGCTGACCACCAAAGGTGAATTGGGCATTTATGTGTGGTCTGCCAAACTGGACTGGAGTCATACGCTGGGGAGCTTCACTTGTGGTATCATCTGCCACTGATGGGACTCCACTTAATTCACCACTGGAATAAGAACAAAATTAATGTAACATATCTCCAAAAACTTTTTTAACAAATATAATAAATTTTTAAAAAGTTTATAAACTGCATTTACGATTAATTTTACCCCCACAGGAAATAAAACCTTAAAATATAAAATTCAGACCACATAATTATAAAGCATACAAAGAAAACACCATCCTCATATTACAACTTCAGAAATAACACATTTAAGGCAAAGGTGTGTCACACTATAGGCAAGGCGTGCATAGATGTTAAAGTAACTGAAAAGTATGTGGGATAAGTTTGAAGTGCTAATAGCAAGATATAAGGTATAAGAGGCTAACGTAGAATTGGCAAGGTCAGAGGACGCTAAAGCAAAACAAGCTAGAACAGGAGGGATGAAAGCAAGGAGTTATAACAGGAGGGATGAAAGCAAGGAGTTATGACAGGAGGGATGAAAGCAAGGAGTTAGGACAGGAGGGATGAAAGCAAGGAGTTAGGACAGGAGGGATGAAAGCAAGGAGTTATGACAGGAGGGATGAAAGCAAGGAGTTAGGACAGGAGGGATGAAAGCAAGGAGTTAGGACAGGAGGGATGAAAGCAAGGAGTTATGACAGGAGGGAGGAAAGCAAGGAGTTATGACAGGAGGGATGAAAGCAAGGAGTTAGGACAGGAGGGATGAAAGCAAGGAGTTAGGACAGGAGGGATGAAAGCAAGGAGTTAGGACAGGAGGGAAGAAAGCAAGGAGTTAGGACAGGAGGGAGGAAAGCAAGGAGTTAGGACAGGAGGGAGGAAAGCAAGGAGTTAGGACAGGAGGGATGAAAGCAAGGAGTTAGGACAGGAGGGAAGAAAGCAAGGAGTTAGGACAGGGGGGTGAAAGCAAAAAGCAAAATCTATTTATGACAGGTTCTCATCCTAACCATGACACTCGAAACCTATGAAAGGTTCTTATGCTAGCCATGACACCCTAAACCAATGAGTGGTTCTTGTGCTAACAATGACAGATTCTCCACCCATGACAGGTTCTTGACCTAACAATAACAGTCCTTGGCCAAACTTTAACAGGCTTTTGGACAATCTACAATTGCTTAACTGTGACACTCTCAAACTAACGCCAATACATCTATGGCATAGTACTGCATACCTGTACCTTTCAGTTTAATAAACAGTATAACAGAAAGCTTTACCTTCATATCTCAACTGTCTGATGAGTATTTTACCTGACACATAATTTCTAGCTATTTTTAACTACCTACAGGTAATTTCTGCATTTGTTGCAAAAACTTGTGTGGCTCCAACCAAACGTCTTTAATTAACAGGACAATCCTCAAGCTGAATTAGTCCAGACTGCAAGGTGTTAGTGAATTTGTATGAGGTTTAAAGATAGTCAACTCCATCCTCTTATCATTATTGACTACTGTACAGTTATCTCTCAGTTAGCCGGAATCTTTGATCCTAGGAACTCTCCAACAGCCACTTCTTTTTTTGAGCATAACAAAACATTCTGGGAAAAATCTCTCCTTTCTAAGGATTGCATCAAGCCCATTTCCATACAAAAAAATCTCTCCGTCCTGGGCATGGGAACAAATTTTCAAGAGATTGCATCATGTTTTGGATGCGGGGACACCTGGGTAGGTAGGTTCAGAGTGACAGAGTGCCCATGAGCTATGATTGGCTAACACTGTCATGTATCTGATGTATCTTGCAGCCTATCTCCTCAAACTCTTGCTTCATGACACTATTAGTTCATTGCCAGCAGCCATTTTAGATGCTCGCTCACTGGCTCACCGCTGTTTTTGCATATGACCTGTGTTATGCAGTACTGTACATTATTGTACCAGTATAAATAAGTCAAGAATACTATTAAAGCAGTGGCAAGATACAAAAAGTGATTACAGTTATGTAAATTGTACTGAACATTCATTAAGTGTGAAAGCACCTTATGTACAGTATTGTACAGTACATAGTGGACAGTGTATGCAAGTGTGTACAGTGGTGGGCACAGCTAAACGAAAAGTTAGCTTCGCTAACCGCTAATCTGCTATCTAAAAAGTTAACTTCGCTAACGCTAGACAGCTAAAAAAATTAGCGGAAGCTAATGCTAACCGCTAACTTTTATTACAGTATATGAATTTAGCTTCGTTTTTTGGGGGGGCTCTAAAACCCTTAAAAACAGACCTAGAGAGCTGAAATTTTCATATGTTGTCTTGTAGCTTAGACACAGAGCTTTCCAAAAAGGTTTAGCATCCAAGATCAGATGATGATCAAGGTGTACACAAATACTTAAATGAACAAATGAAATTAAACATAAGTTTACATTTAAGTTTCAACATATACTTTATAATCTTTATTTACTGTACGAAAAGACAAAGTATTAAACGAATCCAAAAACTATAGTACTGTACAGCATAGGTAGCAAATAGCATCATGCCAAGATCAGATGATGATCAACTTATCAAGGTGTACACTGTACACAATTTCACAAATAATTAATTTGCATTCTCATACAACCTATCGGCCTTAATCATTATTCATGTAAATATGCAATACCAACCACATACACATTATACCAGTGCATTTTTATATAACTTATTGTTGGTCTTAGTCATTATACCAGTGCATGTTTATATAACTTGTTGTTGGTCTTAGTCATGTAAATAAACAGAAAACTTTAAACTTTACACGTACTAACACGCAGTCAGCCAAGCGTGCCTGACTGGCTGTTGGAGACACGCGTCGCGGAGTCACACGCTTACAAGATTGAAACAAACATGGATAAATTTTGTTAGCGGACTTAAAGTTAGCAGAACTAAATTTAGCAGAAGCTAATTGGTCCGCTAATGGTTTCCAAAGTTAGAGAAAATGCTAATCCACTGACAAGAAAGTTAGCTTCGCTAATTAGCGAAACAGTGCCCACCACTGAGTGTGTAGATACAGTATACAGTGCATGTACAATCCCTCCTTCATTGAGGGAGAGGAGAGTGACAGCAACACTTGCTACAGGAGATGGTACAGGAAAAAGGCAGGCCATCCTGTATCATATTACCATTTGGCCTACCTGTATCACAAGCTCAAGATGACAGTACAGTCAACCCTTGCTTTACGAGGTCCCACATTCCGCGTTTCCACGTTTACGCGGTACCCTGCCGAAACCGGAATGCTCACATTCCGCGGTGCGTGTACCCCTTTAAGCGGAGAGCAGCTGGCGAGCCGCGCCATTTTTGGATCCAAACCTCCCGCCCTCCGCCATGTTGTGTAAGCGGCGCGAGCAGGGTGCGCACAAGGTCGCCCAGTCATCAAAACATTACCGAGTTCTTCACCCGCCACAGCCGGCCCAAGTCAGCGATAGTGATAATTATAGTGAGGATATGGACTTATATGAACTTTGAGGGGTTTGACAAAGAGGCCCTGCAAGCCTCTGTGGTGGATAGTGATACAATTGATACAAGTGAAACAGGTGAGGGCCAATAATCTGCCCTCTGCCTCGGAACCAACCCCCAATCCCTGTGTGCCCAGTCATCTTTTCTACTAATGTAAGTGTTAAAAAACCTAATATTATTGATATTTCTCTTAATTATTAATTGTGTGTGCATACCATCATAAAATTAAGAAGTTATTTTTACTACAACGTAGGTATTGTGTCAGAAAAAGTGGAGTTTGGGGGTCGGCCCGGTCTCTATTTCAATTAATCCCATATGTTATGTTATGTTCACTTTACGCGTTTCTCACTTTCCGCGGTACCCTGTGGGTTGAATTAACTGCATAAAGTGAGGGTTCACTGTATATTCTGGCGAGTACAGTACATACAGTAAAGTAGTATTATACTATATTTTGTTTCTTTACAATATATTGTGTGTAAAGCGGTGTTTGCATAAATAGATACACCTGTTTGTCCGTTGGGGATGCCTAGTATAGACTCTCGGAAAACTTTCCTGCGCACCTGGAAAAATTCTGGGGATGAGAAAATTCAACTCCATACCTGGATACCTCTCAAACCAGGAACCACTCTGCACCAATTATTCCGGCTAACGGGGAGATTACTACGTAGTAACTAAAAAAAATTAGGCCATTTCCATAACTCTAAAACTATCATAACCACTTGGAAATGATGCAGCATGGATTTAGGACAGGGATAGAAACCTACCTGGCATAGGACTTCAGCTGGGAGAAGGACCCTTCAGGGTATATGAAAGAGGGCTCATAAGCCCCCACAGAAGACCTTCCATGGAAATCTTGGGTGAATTGGCTGCACAACAAATATATCCACACAAAGGAAAAAAAAAAACAGTGCCATAAATAACATGCAGGCTAAGCATATCCATGCAAAGTTACACATACAACAAAAAATTTACCTTAAACAAAACACAACTGAAATCTAAATAAAACATACACTACACCAAACAGTATATATACAGGGGGGCCCCCAAAATCGCGGGGGCTTGTTTCCCAAAATGGTCGCGAATCATCAAATCCGCGAATAACATTTGCGGACGGGGTTACATTTTTGCTTGTATGCAAAGAAATGTATATTCCCTTTATGTGTTTGCCCTTAGAACAATTGTTTATTTTATCTGTAGTATTGTATATGTGTGTGTGTAGACACACACACACAGTCTTCGGGCTGCAGAACTTTTTCAATAAACAGTTAATTATTATTATTATTACACACAAAACACATACAAATAAATAATAATTGGAATATCATCTCACAAATAATCAGAAACAAATTTATTAAAAATGTGACAGCCTTCCTTCAAGTCCTTGCTCTATTAATAAAGTACTGTAATAGAGCACAAACTTGAGGGTAGACCGTCACATTTTTAACCCTAAGGCCCCGGGTGACGTTCCAGAACGTCCGACCAGCGAGCCCCAGGTCCGCCTATTCCAGCCTTTTTTTTTTATTATTTTTGGAAAAGTTGATTTTTTCTCGATTTATCCCCGCACGGGGGGAGAGGGGGCTGCCAGCAGCACCCTAAGCTGGGGCTTGAGAGTTAATAAATTTGTTTCTGATTATTTGTGAGAATATTTTTCCATTATTATTTACAGGTAGTCCCCAACTTACGACTGCTTGGACTTACGTCCATCGGTACTTACGACCTGCTCTGACCTTACGACCGCCGCAGTTGTGATCAAAATTTTTAATTTTTTTCAAATGACGCGCGCATTTTCTATACCAAAACGTTTCCAATTAATGTAGTCTCCATGTATAATTAGAAAATTAAATGGGGGCCCCATGTGCATTCAGTTGACTACATTAAAGGTAAGTGCTCAGTCACACTGTATCCATTCCTCATTATTTATTACTTTTACTGTACAGTATTACCCCGCTTTACGTGGTTTTTTTTACAAGTTTCCACGTTTACGCAGTACCCTGCCAGACCCGGAATGCTCACTTTACGCGGTGCATGTACTCTTTTACGCGGAGAGCGGCGCGGGCACGCACAAGGTCGCCCAGTCATCAAAACATTACCGAGTTCTTCACCCGCCACCCACCACAGCCGGCCCAAGTCAGTGATAGTGAGGATATGGACTTATATGGACTTTGAGGGGTTTGATAAAGAGGCCTTGCAAGCCTCTGTGGTGGATAGTGATACAATTGATACAGGTGAGGGCCAATAATCTGCCCTCTGCATCTGAACCAACCCCCATCCCAATGTGCCCAGCCATCTTTTCTACTAATGTAAGTGTTAAAAAACCCGAATATTATTGATATTTCTCCTAATTATTAATTGTGTGTGCATACCATCATAAAATTAATTAGTTATTTTTACTAAAGCGTAGGTATTGTGTCTGAAAAAGTGGAGTTTGGGGGTCGGCCCAGTCTCTATTTCAATTAATCCCATATGTTCTTTTGTTCACTTTACGCGGGCCTCCGTGGGTTCAATTGACTGCGTAAAGCGAGGTTTCACTGTACTGTATTTCATTGTAGATTTTTTTTTTTTAAATACTGTAATTTGAAATTTTTTTTTTAATTTTGTGTTTATCTATGTCGGACTTACGACCTGGATTTGGGTCTCTAACCCAGTCATAAGTCGGGGAGCACCTGTATTTGTATGTGTTTTGTGTGTGTGTCTACTCACACACACACATACTGTATATACAATACAGGTAAAATAAATAATTGTCCTAAGGGCAAACACAAAGGGAATATACATATCTTTGTACACAAGTAAAAATGTCCCCCCCCCCCTCCCACCGTCAGCAATGTTATTCGCGGATTTGGCGATTCGTGGCCATTTTGAGAACCTAACCCCCGAAAATAAATAAATATATATATATATATATATATATATATATATATATATATATATATATATATATATATATATATACATATACACATATATATATATATATATATATATATATATATATATATATATATATATATATATATATATATATATATATATATATATATATATATATATATATATATATATATATATATATATATATATATATATTTATATATATTTCATGAGATCCACAATCGTGGATAAGATAAATCTTGATAAAATCACAAGGGAAAAGGGAAACAGCGGAGCACCTTAGCTTTCGTCTTTATTCAAGACATCTTCAGAGGCAACTGGATTACATGGACAGAGAGAGGCTTAAATATACAGGGTGACCTTAAAAACATGAGGTCAGGTCATAATGATGTCATCCACTAATCCCCACACCAACACACACGTAGAGGAGCTTAAGAGAAGGGGGTGACGTGACTAGTCAGGTCAGGTCAAAAATAAGGGACCCATAGAATAACTATCATACATCTAGATCAAAGGTTTTCAAAGCATTTTTAACCTTGGGGTACTGACAAATAAATTTATGTAACATATTATCAGTTTTGAACTGACCATCACTAAGGTTTATTGATTTTTTTCCTTAATCAAACTAGCTTCAAAACTACAAATTTAAGGTATACAGAAAGCCCACACAGGTAGACAGTTTCATTCACTTTTTATCGAATCACCTGGAGTCTACCAAAATGTCAGTTTTTTCTGCTATGTTCTTAAGATGTCTGCGTATTTGTGACTCTGAATTTATTGACGATGAATTGAAACACATTCGTTCCATTGCACAGAAACTCGGGTACCCTTCTGTGTTTGTTGATCGTTGTTTTAAAAGGGCTAAAAAATCCTTTCATTCCTCTCAAACCAGACAAATTCCTACACTTAAGAATATTTTGACTGCCCTATCGTAATGAATTTGTCCCGTTAGTTCGGTCCCTCAAGCTTCTAAATATTAATGTTGTTTTCAAGTATGACTCAACCATTACCAATATGTTAATAAGAAATAGCCCAAGTTTGAATGTAAATGGAAGTGTTTATTGTATTCCATGTAACAAATGTAATTGTAATTATGTAGGACAGACAGGAAAAACACTGCAGCTCAGAATCAAACAACATAAGTATAATATCAGAACAGCATCTGAAAGCAGTGCCTTGTTCGTTCATGTTAGGAATAATAATCACCCCATTGCTTGGGAAAAAAGCTTAGAAGTATTTAAATCATCTTGTGTCACAGAAAGACTTCTGGTTGAAGCTAGTTTGATTAAGGAATTAAAATCAATAAACCTTAGTGATGGTCAGTTCAAAACTGATAATATGTTACATAAATTTATTTGTCAGTGGCCCAAGGTTAAAAATGCTTTGAAAACCTTTGATCTAGATGTATGATAGTTATTTTGTGGGTCCCTTATTTTTGACCTGACCTGACTAGTCACGTCACCCCCCTTCTCTTAAGCTCTCTACGTGCGTGTGGTGTGGGGATTAGTGGATGAAATCATTATGACCTGACCATGTTTTTAAGGTCATCCTGTATATTCAAGCCTCTCTCTGTCCATGTAATCCAGTTGCCTCTGAAGATGTCTTGAATAAAGACAAAAGCTAAGGTGCTCCGCAGTTTCCCTTTTCCTGTGTGATTTTATCAAGATATATATATATATATATATATATATATATATATATATATATATATATATATATATATATATATATATATATATATATATATATATATATATATATATATAAACCGAAGTGCCATTAAAATTTTATTATCCAGCTCTAGCACAGTATCCAGAAATTTAAACCTTTCCCAATACGTACAAAGAATGAACAAAGTTATGCAATTGCCATTAATTGGTGAGTATATATTTATCCAATATACTTTACTGATGTTTTCACACACTTCTTGTTTTATAACAGCTTTCAAAACTTAGTACTACAGTCGTTACAGAAAAGCAGTACAGTACTTTACAACACTGACATGGTGACAAAATAATTTCCAGCAAAATGACTAAGGGAAATGATGCCATAACCATCATATTTTCATATCCAGTACTGTACTACCTAGGTCTGGTTCATGCCAGATAGTAAGGCTTATTCTGTATGTTACTGGAAGACCATTTTTATGAACATTGTACATTAATCCAATATTCTAACTAAACTAATCAGGGGTTACTATAAATTAATAAATATATACTGTATATAAATGGATGACTAAAGCAAGAAATGTCATTCTAAAGCCAAGGAGGGGAGATGAAATGTGGTGGTCCCTCGGTTAACGAATTACCTTCCATAAGAATCTTCATTTCGGTTGACGAAGAAAAATTCGGTTAACGAAATTCTCACGAAAATGTTTTGACATGCTCTGGCTTGCTCACCAGCTGGAAGATTAGTCCGCCAATACAGAAATCGGTTCTAGGGCTTACATTCTTTAAAATTGGAGTAAATATCAAGAAGGTTGTACTATTCAATAATTTTCCAAGTTTTAAATTAAAATTTTTAGTCATTTTAACACTAAATTTTAAGCTCTGTACTGTAATATAGTCAGCTGATAATAGACAAACCATCAAACTGTAGAAAAAAGTTACATGCACCATCCTGAAAATAAGTCATGACCCAGATCTTGTGAATGAAAGTATATAAACCAAGTACAGAAAACTAGTTTTTGGTGCACCCATCAGCCACTTCACTCACCCACCAAGGCCTCAGTTTGTATCTCTGTTCAGTGGAGGAAACATCTTGCTCGTGGGTCTCTTGAACACACAGTATTTTTACATTTTTACAGTACAATTATTGGTCATCAGTGAGTGTTCATAATACAGTACTTATTCCAAATCACTGGGGCATATTGTACTCTGCAACCAGAGATTATTTACAATTCTGAGCAATGGGAGTTGTTGTAAAGTGATGAGGTCTCTTAAGCTTCCCTGCAAAAGACTACAAAATATCTGCC